GAGCCCGGAGAGCCCGTGGAGCCCGTGGAGCCCGTGGAGCCGTGGAGCCAGTGGAGCCCGTGGTCGTTCAGAAGGGCTCTTCTCGAAGATGTTACAACGTATCAGGAACGTCTTGCAAGTCACTTGACGAAAATGTTACGACGTATAGCAGGAACGTCTTGCCTGTGTGTGCACAGGAACATAAACGGTATTACCCCACCCCACCCCACCCCAGCAGTAACTGATCATGAAAGAGCAGTGCAGTGCGTGTGTCTGCAGGACAGCAAGAAAGATGATGAGGTTGCTGTGCCTGACCATGTCCCAGCCCCGTGTCCCCAAGTGTTACCCCAAAGGTATGATTCCCTGGTGCTCTAAGTGATCCACTTTTTTGGTGCTCTAAGTGATCCCATGGTGCTCTAAGTGATCCGGTGCTCTAAGTGATCCACTTTCCGGTGCTCTAAGTGATCCCTTAACCCCCCTGGCTGGCTTAAAACGTTTAGCCAGTTTTGGTGCAGGGGGGGGTATTGGTGCACGATTCTTCCCGACTGGTGCAAACCTGGTGCAAGGGTGGGTCTGGGCCGTTTTTTGTGCATCGGCTGGCCGGTGCACGGGGGAAAAAAAAAGTGTTGGAAAACCACTTGTTTCATGTCAAAAATCCATTACTTGGTGAAAACTCGGTGCTGAGAAACCATTTTTTAGGGCTCGGAAATTTTGATGAAACTTCTTGAGGAGAGATTTTGGTGTCATTTGTTTAACGACTTTTGGCGTCAAAAAAACAACTGTTCGGGCTGAAAACCGGCTGAAACCCTAGGCTTTGAACGTACCAAGCCAAGCAGCAATCTGTTCAAAAGGTGCAGGCATATGCAGGCATCCTTTTGCCGTGTGCAGCCTAGATGGCGGCTGCAGTTATGCTCCTTAACTCTTGACATCCTTCGCCCCTAAAACCAAAATTTGACACCAAACTTAGAAGATCTTAGTTTCTGCCCCTGCTGAAGCAATTTTTGGCGCCACAAACCGGATTTGGAAACACCAGGCCCAAACACCAGTTTTATGCCATCTGAGCCCCACATGTTCCCACATTTTTATTTCCGCGCGCCCCTTTTCCATTTTCCAGCACCTTGCCGTGCACCGCCCCCCCCCAAAGCCCACGTTTTAAACCAGCTACGGGCTGGGCAATGCATATGCAAATATTGAAGAGAAACACAGAGAGAGAGAGAGAGAAAAAAAATAATATAATATATATATATGATTCCGCCAGCATAGACCCCAGATATCATAAGATATTTTATGGTGGCCACCAAGCGCTTGCCTTTTTTGCTACGGCATAAACGTAATCTCCACCAGGGTCCAACACCCACACTACCATAAACATCTCGCAGCCACCCTTTGCAGGGACACCAGCACCCAAGCTTCATAGCGCACAGCGCACACACCACTCTAACAGCAGCACCCTGAAGCAGCACCTGCAGCAAGACATGAAGCCTGCAGCTAGAAATGGAGCTAGGGGCTCTATTTGGAGCTTGGAGCTTTAGAACAGTCGGGGTTAAGAGAACCGCAGTCGGAGTTAAGACTCCCTGTGGGTTGCCAAGATGCTGGTTTCACAGTATATACATATATACACATATTCACATATACACATATACATATATATATATTTACATGCACAAATATACATATATACACACATACATACATATATGCATGTATATACCGTACATATATATATATATATACATAGGTATATATATATATACATAGGTATAGATCTATATATATATACATATGCATATATGCATATGTGCATATATGCGAATATGCATGTGTATACAGCACATATAAACATGTACCTAGGCATATATATATATATACATATGTATATATATATATGCATATATGCATGTATATACAGTACATATAAATATATACATATACATATACATATACATATACATATACAGATACATACATATACATATATATATATATACATATACATCTACATATACATATACATATACATACACATATACATATACATACACATATATACATGTATACACATTATACATATAGACATATACATATGTACATATTTACAAGTATGTATCTATTATGTGTATATATATATAGTATATTATGTACCTATTTTCTGCGTGCATATATTAATACAACTACATTTATATAAATAAATATATATATATTATGTATGTAACTAGTTGTTTAGTGATGGAACCCCCAATCAAATATAATGCAGTGAATCCAAGACTGTGAACCAAACCCTTCAACGCTCAGTACCTTTCTGTTGCATAGGGCGGTGTCGCGCGTTTGAAATCCTTCCTTTAACGAACTTCGGTCGGCAGGGGGGGGGTCCCTGGCGCTGAAGCGCGAGGCCAATCTGCAGTGAAGCAAAGGTCGTTCACCTGATCGACCTTGTCGCCAGAGGCGACTTGAACAGCGTTTTCGATTTGACGCCATCATGGTCTGCAACCACTGCACCTTGGACTTCGAGGGACTGCGATTGACCTCCTGGAGTTGGAAGCATCATCAAATTGGCCTCGGGTAGTTAGACAGTTTGCAAAATGGAAAACATGGCCCGCTTAGTTCGAGTCACCTATAATTAAAATGTGATTTCCAATTCGCAAACTAGCACTACCAGAGGCTACAAGAAAAACAGCACTGAAATGCGCCCAAGTCAGGGCTTGTGAAATCAAGCTGAGCTGATTTTTTCGCTCACCTGGTGACTTGCTAACTTCACCAGTTACAAAGGAGGTTTCAAGAATTGCCGACAGAAAACTTCCACCCCTTGCCATCTTCTAAGTCACATCTTTCTGTGCTGCAAAGATGACTTTTCTGGGTGAACATGGACGAACTACGCTCTCAGGGATGGCCTCAATCTGTAGATATTCCGAAACTGACCATCTAAAATGGATGTGTTCGGGAAAAATATGCAAAATACGCGTAAAAAGTCGACCGAAATCATCCAGGTAATCACAGTTTTTTCGCAGTTTGGGGTTGGCCCTGGGGCCCTGGGGCCCTGGGATGAGGCGAGCTGGCACATCCCTGAGATGTTTAAGAAATCAGCGGCGCTCTGCTAAGTAACAGCTGCCTGCGACACCCTCCGCACCGGAGATTCTGTATCTCAAATGGAGACCCAACAGTCTGAGTCTGACAGTCTGGATTCGCTCAACTTGGATCATAAACCAGGTAGGGATGGGAAATATGTGTGTATATATATACATGTAATATGATGTAATATCTAAAAGCACATAAAAAGAGAGCATCATTGGGTGCTTTGCAGGGTCCCCGGCATATTCCCCTAGAACTACAAAGCATGACGAAGTGATCTTGAACGGGAAAATAGAAGGAGGCTGAAAGATATACCATCTGTTGGTTGCTGAATGGACTGAATGGGAAGTCATCGCCTTGGTCCAAAACTTACCCGTTCGAATGGGCCCTGTTGGTCATCTGTGGAATGCCGATTTGCGAAAAAATATCTGGTGAACAGCTTAAACCATCCTATTCGCAGACAACCTATTGCAAACCATACCTCTGTTTTCATTGGGGTTTAACCGCATATGGACATTGGACATGGGGTAAAACGTGTTTCCTTTTTAGGACTGATTTTGAGGGGTGGTTGCTGGTTTGATCCCCTGGTGAAATCCCTCACATTGTGCTGGTTAAAATCACCACTTTTTCAGTAAATCCACATGTGTCCTTGATTCAAGTCCCCCATGTGAAGTTGTTTCATAACTGCTTCGGCCCAAAATCTGATGGTTTATCCTGATTTCCCTCTGATTCAAGAAACATCATGGATCAAAATTAGATACCCCTAAAATTGGATAAAGTTGGATGGTTAGTACTAATACATATATATATGTATATAATAGATCTCTGCAGCCTGGGTCCTAAATATTGACCCTCCATGATTTCCCAAAGTCATTTTGAGAACTCAACTCGTGTTGGGACTGACTGTGGTGCTTGCGTCACTGGGGAGGACTGCACCTAGGCGCGCCTTAGGCTCGGAAACGGCCATGAAACCAAGGAAATCACCAAAGTAGGCTCTATAATTGAATAGATAGTGGAGCACACAGAAGTATACATCTGGCTAGTCTTAAGTGGGGAAGTGACGCTTAACCATGAGGTGTTGGGGTACATTTCTCTAGGCAAAGCCAGTTCCACATATATAATAATGTGTCTAATTTAAGAGGATTTATGTATCTCTGAATACATCTATAGATGTGATGTTGTGCTGCCAAAAGCAAGAAAGTATGTGGTTGCAGGGTCCTTAGATAGACAGAGACAAACGTGTGCAGTATACACATGCATATAATAATCATATGTGATGTGCATCAGGATGTATGTATGTAAATATATGTATGCATGCATCCTTGTATGTATGTATAGTATATGTGATGTGAGGTGAGGTTACGTTCTGTGATGTGCTGTGCTGTAATGCAAAGTAATGTGATGTAATAAAGTAATGCAAAGCAACGTAATGGAAAGTAATGTAAAGTAATGCAGCGCACTGAAATGAGATGGAACGCAATGGAATGCAATGGAACGCAATGGAATGCAATGGAATGCACTGTACTGTACTGGACTGTACTCTGATGTAATGGTATGTCTGTCTCTGTCTGTCTGTCTGGCTGGCTGGCTGGCTGTCTGGCTGTCTGGCTGTCTGGCTGTCTGGCTGTCTGGCTGTCTGACTGTCTGGCTGTCTGGCTGTCTGGCTGTCTGGCTGTCTGTCTGTCTGTCTGTCTGCATGCATGTGTGGAGGAATAACATTTTCCCCATGATGAATGGCTAAATTACCTGTGTGTGTGTGCATGTCTCCTTGCCGGCCAGCTTCGTTTTACCATTCTGGGGTTGCAGCCTCCCAAAAATGTGACATGCCCAGGTACTGAAAATCTCCGCATGTTTTGTTGATTGTATCTCCAGTCCCCTTCCAAGCTCCAAGGCAAGATAACAAGTCTTGAACTCCTGTTTCTCAGTTGCCAATTTTGAGGGACACCCATTTCCGGCAAAGTCTGCTGGTTCATTGTAGCGCAGCATTTGTAAGGTGCTGAACCACATCATAAACCATCCCAATTATACAAGAAATTTGTGGTACAAACCGATCCCAAACTGGGAGGTGATTGTTGGGTTTACCACATTATGCACCTTCTTGTATGAAGCTATGTGGAGCATTCCTAATCTACCAACAGTTGTCCGGAAAGTCAATGCATTTGGCAACCCTGAGTTGAACCAACGCACCGGGCCGCATACAACACCATTTTAGCTGCAACTCCTACAGGGATATGGGTCAAGAAAAAATGCATCTGATGGTGAACATGAAAATAGATCAAATAGCTGGTAAATAGGTTCATCCCCCAACAAATGGTATCAAAGGCATTGATTCCGCCTTGCATTTCTTTCAGCGACATCTTGAGAAGAGACATCCATTCCCTTCAAAAGTACCAGGTTTTTTGCTCTCTCCTCATGACTAGTTTCCTTGCGAGCATACCTCGTAAGTTTTTAACTCCAAATTTCTTGGTGAAATGACAGTTCCCAAGGTACAGTCTGTACAGCAGGCGACCCCATAAACCATGATGGTCCACCCTGCACGGTCTTTCACACAAAATCACAACCAAGAGACCGAGAGGAAAAAGAAACACCGCCCCCTGAGCTTAGCTCCAGCAGACTGTGCCCCAAATTGCCTCCGGCGCCACTGACATCCCACATCCTACAACCGTTTAAAAAAGAACAAAAATAACCTCTAAATCAAACCCAAACATGCAAAAATCCACTACTAAACCAAGGTTCCCAAGCGGATTAGAAAACGTTACACCATTTCGTCATCACAAGAACCATCTCAGTACACAGCAACACTTGGCAGCCCGAATGCTTGCACAAAAATACTCAGCAAACAGTGAAACAATAGGGGTAATTCAACCCGGTCGATTTTCCGGTGAACTCTATTTTTTTCCTTGTGCATTATTTCCCAGTACATCATGTCTGGTTATTGGAGGGTAATACCAAATGCTTGACATTTCTTCATGGCTGGGCTCTTCAAAAAGACAATGCGCTTTGGGTATACCAGCCCAGTTCAATGTGTTCCATCTATCCGCTCCGTGTTCCTAAAACAAATAATAATTAATAATAATAATAACAATAATAATAATAATAGTAATAAGTAATAATATATATATATTGAAAAAATCTACACATCAACCCAAAAAATGTATCATGTTAAACCATCCATGTTGTTGTGTGGCAAAAAAAAAAGGTTCCATACCCATATGTTCGTTTGCTCAATCCCTCCGTTTGGAGGTTTAACCCCTACACAGTATCTGTGGTGGTCTAATGCCAATTTTTTGTTTGTGAATTCCCAGTTTTCTTGTTGCTAAATCATGTGTTTGATCCCCATACTTGTTTTCTCCAATTAAATATCTAAATTGGTTCGCGTGAAAATGGAAAATATGCGGTACTCCAAATTGACAAACCCGAACATCATATATTGGTGGCGGTTATCTCCCATTGTATCCCCAATATCATAGTATCATCGTATCCCATATCTACCTACATTATATTTCCATGAAATCGCGTTAATGAGGTAAGTCCAAGCACAGCCACCATCCCTAATTCCGTTCATGAAGTTGGATAAACCCCTGACTGGCATGATATTTTTTGCAACCCCCAGTCATGGGTGGAGTTAATAGTCTTGTTTGTGGCATTGAAGTTTTACACCCCCAATTGCTCTCCAATACACCAACAAAGACGTGGAAAATCCACCATCAATGCAGATCACTGCCCGACGGGCAACAACCATGGATTTCCATAATTCCCCAGATAGCATCAGCTAAAGTATCAGCTATAAGGGTTCTTACATCTCTATGTAGAAGATCCTGATCGCCGAAAATTTTCCCGGTCAAGCCGCTCAAGCCTCCTTCTCTCCCTGCCTTGTCTCCCTTCATGATCGCCACCTTTTGCGCCTGCTGCCCTGTCTCCCAGCCTTGTCCTTCATGATCGCGCCTTTGCTGCCGCTGCCGCCTTGTCTCCCAATACCGTCTCCCTTCATGATCGCCGCTTTCCGCTGCCGCTGCTGCCTTTTTTTCCAGCTTTGTTTCTCTGCGTGATCGCCGTCTTCGCTGCGGCCTTGTTTCCCAGCCTTGTCTCCCTAATTGCTGCCTTCGCTGCCGCTGTCGCCTTCTCTCCCCAGCCTCGTCTCCAAGCCCAGCCTTGTCTCCCGGTGGCGTGATCGCCGCCTTCGCTACCGCTGCTGCCTTGTCTCCCAATCTCGTCTTCCTTCATGATCGCCGCCGTCACTGCCGCTGCTGTATTATTTTCCAGGTTTGTTTCTCTGCATGATCGCCGCCTTCGCTGCCGCTGCCGCCTTGTTTTCCATTCTCGTTTCCGTGCTCTCCCAATCTTGTCTGCAAACTTGAAGACTGACTGGAAAATATCTTTGCTATCTGGGGTCTATGCCGGGGTAATTTTTGTAAGTTCACTGAAAGGTATTAACATGTTTTTCTTGTTTTAACCAATATGCTATGACATACCCATGGTGGGGGCAGATATCCACTGTATCCCATCATATCCCCAGTATAGCAAGTTTTATCCTGATATAAAAACTATTCTAGCCAGCCGTATACCCATTTTAAAAAGCATATACATTTACATATATATATATACATATACATATAAATACATACATATATATATACAGATAAATATATATATATACATTTTAAAAAAAAATATTTATACATATAAAAACACATATTTTCATATATATATATACATATATCTGTATATGTATAAATATATATACACAGATAAATAAATATATATATACATATATCTATATACAGATCAATATATATATATATACATATACATATATATACATATATATATACATCTATATAAATATATATACATACATACATACATACATACATACATACATTACATACATTACATACATTACATACATTACATACATTACATACATTACATACATTACATACATTACATACATTACATACATTACATACATTACATACATTACATACATTACATACATTACATACATTACATACATTACATACATTACCTACATTACCTACATTACCTACATTACCTACATTCATACTTACATACATTTCATACATTTACATACATACATCATGAACATACATTACTACATTAAACATACATTAATACGTACAGACATTAACAGACCTACATACATTTACATACATGAACAATACATTACAATAACCTTACATACCTTACATCCATTACATACATTACATACTACAAATTCCATACATGCATACATGCATACATGCATACATGCATACATGCATACATGCATACATGCATACATGCAAACATGCATACATGCATACATGCATACATGCATACATGCATACATGCATACATGCATACATGCATACATGCATACATGCCTACATGCATACATGCATACATGCATACATGCATACATGCATACATGCATACATGCATACATGCATACATGCATACATGCATACATGCATACATGCATACATGCATACATGCATACATGCATACATGCATACATGCATACATGCATACCATTACATTACATTGCATTGCATTACATTACATTACATTACATTACATTACATTACATTACATTACATTACATACATACATACATACATATGTATATATAGATGGATGAACCTCATCTTCTGGCTGTAGACCCTCAGATCCGTCTGGTTCGGATCGAACTTGGGAATTTGCCCCCATGGCAGAGAGTTGGGAGGAAAGGTCGCTGTCACAGCTGCAGTTTCGGCTGCTTCCGCTGCTTCAGACATGGCTCAGTTCCACTGGGGATGTTGTGCTGTCTACGCCGTCTATGCGCTGCTAGACTTGTCCTAGGCCTGCACACCTGCCTGTTTCTTTAGTTGGAGCAATTACCTACAGCGGCAGCCCAGTGCTCCGCTACCAATGTTAATGTGATCCCCAAATAGGGTGAAAGGATGTTTCCCCAAACACCTGAAGCCACGAAACCCTGTTTCATTCACCAACTGCTGTCCTCCCACCCAAGGCAGGTGGCAATGTATGGCGCATGACACTGGAAAATTCACCGCATATATATATATACACATAAGCATATATATATAGACATGTATATTTAAAGATATAAATATATACTATACACATACACATTTACACACACACACATATATATATATATACGCAGTGTCACACCCCCACCACACCACAGGGGGGGGCGGGGAACATAGCTCCTGTATATCCATACCCATTCCTACTGCTAACTACTACTCACTACTACTAACTACTACTAACCCCCCCACCCCCCTACCCACCCACAGGGGGGTGCGGGGAACATAGCTCCTGTATATCCATACCCATTCCTACTAATAACTACTACTCATTACTACTAACTACTACTAACCCCCCCATCCCCCTACCCACCCACAGGGAGGGGGCGGGGACTTAGCTCCTGTATATCCATACCCATTCCTACTACTAACTACTATTCACTACTACATACTACTAACTACTACTAAGTAACCCCCCCACCGGGGGACCTGGGAGGGCTGCAGCATATATATATATATATAAATACATATACATATACATATATATATATATACACATATATTTAAATACATATACATATATATATATATGTATACATATGTGTATATATATACATATATATACATATTTTTTGATATACATATATACATATATACATATATACATATGTTTATATACATATATATATATAAATGAAATATATACATATATATATATACACCTATATTTACATATATTTGTATATACACATATATATATATGTATATAAACATATATATATATACATATTACAAATATGTGTATACATATTTATATTCATACATATATATATATATTTACATATATATATGTACATATATAAATAATATATATATATATGTATTTGCATACAGATATATAGACAAATATAAATTTATATACATATATATACATATACAAATGTGTATATGTAGATATATATATATATATCATACATCTATATATATATATAAATAACAATGCATACATACATAATAGATATATATATATATATATTGTACGTGTATGTGGTTATTTAAATATATGTACATACAAATATGTATATATATATATATGTCTACATATATGTTTTGGTTTTTACATATATATCGTTCCCATTACATCCCCGTGTTTATCCCCCTTAGACACACAAGTGTCGCGTCACTAGTAGCGTCTCCACATCGACCTGCCTGCGGCGATGCCTGCGGCGTCACAGTGAAATTAATGTCGATGGCTGAAGGCCAGGTTCCCTGGGCTTCTCGACCTGCCTTAGCTCTTGGAAGCGTTCGTCGGTCATGTGATAAAAAGGTGAGGGCTGGATCCCAACCGTTTTTGGATGATTATAGGACCTAATGTTAAAATATACATAATACCTATCTAAGTTGGATGGGTTAACACTAATGACTCCTATCCCAATAACACTAATAATTCTAAAAGTATGGTTAATATCCCACGTTGTCAATAACATTCAATAACATTAATGGTTGGGATCATGTTGTATTTGATGGCTCACAATCAAACATGGCACAGGCTGGAAAATCCACCATGTACTTCGAGGGTATACGGCTGAGTCGCTGAGTCCTGGCATCTGCCCATGTATGGTCCCCCCCGTTGATATTGCAATCGCCAAATAACTGGCCAAAACACTGTAAATTACGCTACAAAATGCAACAAGAGATGTCCGGGGTAGACATATATGCATATATATATACGTATATAGATACATATATATATATACATATATATACATACATATATGTGCACATATGTTTATACATTCATTTATATATATATATATACATATACATATATATATATTTACATATAAATATATATATACATATATATATAAATACACACATATAAATACACATATATATATATACATATGCATAATGTACATATACATATAGGGACCATCACCATCTCGGGGGCAGGGGGGGACCACCAAACGCTGGGCAATAAATAAATATATATATATACATACATATGTATGTGTATATATATATATATATTTACACCTATGAATACACATGTATGTATATATATATGCATATATATTTTTTACAACATGTTATTCCCGAGTTTTTGCGATGGAAGTTAGATATATGCATGAGATGGATATGGATTATAGCACCACTTATGTACCAGTTGCAACCGGGTTGGAAACGATTTGTACAATCCCCGCAACTAGCAGTAACTAGCAAGCACCCTAAGAGAAAGATAGGATGGATTTTGAAAAAAAGTCTAGGTCGCAAAACATGTTTTCCAATAAACTGGCACAGTCTATGCTGGTTGGAAGCATGGAAACTGGACAACAACCCATGTTTTAACTGGTTTCGTCATATGTCAAGGGTAAAAAATGGGTTGGAAAGCACGCACCCAGTGGTATTCACATCCAAGTATAGAGTGGTGAACTTCGGCCACGTCATGGGGTGATAGGACTTATAGAAACAAGAAAAATCATAAAATATGTGATATGAAACCTATATAGTATACGTATTCATCTGGATTCATCTGGTGCTTTTAGGCCCGTCGCAGGGCAAATAATGTCAGTTGATGGGGACTCTGGTTCTTGGAGATACGGACATGGGTCCGAAAAAAGCGAAACCCAACATCCCCCAAAAAGGTGGGGCAGGGTGAAATTGATCATATGGGCATCCCCGATTCTCATATTCTTTTTGGAAGGCGTACAAATGCTGGAAGAAGAGTATAGAAGAGTCAAAATATGTCAAGAGATGGGAAAGGGTCAAAAACACTGTATCCCTTCTGTTCGCATGAAAATTGCTTGGGTTTACGGAGTTTACGGATGTTCATCCACGATCCATCCCCTATCTGAGGTATGGTCAACCCGCATTTGGAATTCACCTTTGCTGGTGTTGTTGAATCCCTATTGATGGACGACCATTCCCCATTATGGTTAATGTGGTAAAGTCAATGCCATAAACCTACCATTTGGGGATGTGGTTTACCACCCATTTGTGTTGATGTTGGGGATGGTTTACATTTGGTTTTACCACACTATATTATATATAATTACACATCTTGTTTTCCATGTTCTATCTTTCAAGATCCAAGATGCTTAGAAGAATCTTTTGGATCGACTTTGGTGATGCTCTTCGCCTCACCTTCTTCGATCTCCGGCATGATTCTGCGCACCTCACGGCCAGAAACTCGTCACAGACTTGTCGCAGAATTGGGTGTGTCTGAGAATGTTTACCAATTTAGTAGGGAAAATCATGTTTGGCTACTGAATTTTGGGGTACCCAATTTTCAGAACCCAAATTGTGACTCCCCGGCGTCGCCTGAAAGCCGAATGGGAATGGGAATCAATGTAGGACCCTTCCAACACCATGGTGCTTTACTCATCAACAGCCAGTGATGACCGTTTCCTGGATTTCCCGACATCATGTGTCAATTGATTTCACCTGCTGAAAACAATGTTGTTGAACCTGTCTTACCACTCACACCCTATAGATCCTATAGTAAGTTACCACAGCTATTGAAAATCACCATGTTTAATGATAGGTAAATCATTGAAGTAAATGGACGATTTTCCATACCAAACCCATTTTTTTTGGCTATTTCCGAAATTTACCCAAATGTTCCTGTTAAACCCATGATTTTCCATAGCTGTCAAATGACCAGAGGTAAAGACGGACCAGAGCCGAACCGGGGTTCACCGAAACCGATGCCGCTGCGATCGTGATCCCAAGGGACTAGTACCCGCAGATAGGGACTCCTTTGTGCCAGCTGCTTCAAAGCAAAACGCTTCTGGTCGTCGGTCATGTCAGATTCCAGAACCTCCGCAAAAAAAATCTCCGCTATGACAATAATAACGATGATGATGATGATGGTGGTGATGATGATTATGACTATTATGATGATGATGATGATGATGATGATAATGATGATGATGATGATGGTTATTATTCTTTTGATAATGATGATTATGGTTATGATGATGATTATGATTATTATGATGGTGAATTTTTAGATGACGCTTATTATGATGACGGTTATGTTTTTGATAATCATTATGATGATGGTGGTGATGATGATGGTGATGATGATTTGATGATTATTATAATGAGGATGATCATTTTTATGGTGATTGTTATTAAAATGATGATGGTTGCAATGATTATTATTTGTTGATGATGATTCTTAATATGATGATGATAAATACTATGTTGATGATGATAACTAATATTATTATTATGATGATGATGGTGATTGTTATGATGATGATTGTTCTTATGATGGTGCTTATTATGAGGATGCTGATTATTTTAATGATGATGATGAAAATAATTAAGATGATTACTATGTTGATGATGATGATGATGATGACTGTTATTATGATGGTGATGTTGACTATGATTATGATGCTGATGATGATGATGATTAAGAAGATGATGGTCATTGTGATAATGACGATGATTATAATGATTAAAATGATTATAATGATTATAATGATGATTATAATGATTATAATGATGATTATAATGATTATAATGATGATTATAATGATGATGATGATTATTATTATGCTGATGGTTGTGAATTTAAAGATGAATGTTATTATGTTTCTGGTGATGATGATCATGATTGTTATGATGATGATTTTTTTTTTATCATGATGACGATTTTATGATGATGATCGTTATCATCATGATGATGGTTATTATTACTGTTATTTCAGTAATGATGGCTCTAATCATAATTTTGATGATGCTTCTTATTATGGTGATGGTGATTATAATGACGATCCTGATTATTGCATTTTGATGCTGGCCGTGGTTATGATAATTATTATGATTATCATATTGTTTTTGATCAGAATAATAAATATTATTATGTATGGTGATTATGGTTAAAAATGGCGTTTATATTGTAATGATGATTCTGATAGTAATAATGATGATGGTTATGATTCTGATGATAACGATTACGACTATTTTGATTTGTATTGTGATGATGATGATTTCTATTCTGATGATTGTTCTTATACTGATTATTACTATGTCAGTCAATATGATGATGATTATGATGACTAGTACGATAACGATTACAATGATGATGGATATACTATGATGGTGACGATTATGGTGATTATTAATGTGATGATGATGTTGATGATGATCGTGATCGTGATGGTGATGATGGTGATGGTGGATGTGATGATGATGGAGATCATGATGATGATGATGATGATGATGATGATGATGATGATGGTGATGGTGGTGATGGTGATGGTGGTGATGGTGGTGATGGTGGTGATGGTGGTGATGGTGGTGATGGTGGTGATGGTGGTGATGGTGGTGGTGGTGGTGGCGGCGATGGTGATGGTGATGGTGATGGTGATGTTGATGTTGATGGGGTTTTAATAGGAAAAACATCTGTAGATGGAGTTCATTAACCAGAATTTCCAGGTTAGATGTCCATGATGAAGTTTTGATCAGAAAATCATCTGTGCATGGCGGTCATTGATTATTAACCACAATTTCTAGGTGTCGTACTTGTTGGCTCACCCTAGGAATAGCTCCAGAGGGTCAAATCCAGTGAAATAACTGAACTGGGCGATCACCCTGCTTACCATGCTGAATGAACTGGGGTGAACTAATAAGCCACTTACTCACTGGGCTCAGCCACCAAGTAGCCACGATGGAGTGGGGGAAACGTGGCGTAATTGGAGTATATAGTTATCCATTTTTCCATGTACCTTAGATGTTTTACCTACTACACATTTTAATGGCGAGTTTCCATGTTGATGTGAAATTACCAAAGAGTACTTGTTGGTTCATTCACCATCCCTCCAGTCCCCCGATCCATCGATCCCTCTCTCCATCCGTTTTAGCCACAGGTCCCCTCGTATCTACATATACACAATGCTCCCCAAGGCATACACGTCCAAATCCCTCTGAGCCTCTAGCATTGTCTAAAATTGAAAGAAAAGAACATTCAAACCACTGATCACAAACTTCCAATCTTTACTGTTAAGACGTCTAGAGGCGTTCATTCATTGGAAAATCGAAAACAATTAGTAATATGAAAAACGGACAAAAAACAAACAAACAAAAAAACAAACCACAATAAAATTAAAAAATCGAAAGACAAAAAAGAACCTAATTGCGCCAGGGTGCTTTGTAGTTGTTTCTTTTTGGTTTTTTGTTTCTGATGTTTCTTTTTTTCCCTCGGGAGACTCCGGAATTCTAAACTTGCATTGTTCCTTAGCAAAAAAAACGAAAAAGAAACTTAAAAAAATAGTGCTCTGCATATTCGTGCTTCTAAGTTTTCGAATGAATGCGGTTTTACTATGAATATGCAATGCACTCTGTCGCAATTTGCTTCTTGAAGTTTCTTTTTTTCGTCTCTTGTGTGTTTCTTTCGTGTTTTTCCGCTTTTTTTTCTAAGGCAAAATTGGATTCCGGAGTCTCCCGAGGAAAAAAGAAAGAAACAAAAAAGAAATAAATTACGACAGAGTGCTTGCATATTCGCGTTTTCAAATTTTCCAATGAATGCAGTTTCCCAATGAATATGCAAAGCACTCTGTCGCAATTTGCTTCGTTTTATTCCTTTTTTTCTTTGTCGTTTCTTTTCTTTTGTTTTGTGTCGTTTTTTCTAAGGAAAAATGCAGATGTGGAATTCCGGAGTCTCCTGACCTGAGGAAAAAAGAAAACACATACAAAGCACCCTGGTGCAATTTGCTTCTTTTTTGCTTTTTCATTTTGTATTTTTGTTTATTTTTGTGCGTTTCTTATTCAGTTTCTGGTTTCCAATAAACCTAAGCATGTTGCGTCTTAACTTTACTGATGGTCGATCTTCCCGGTTGGTTAAACATAATTACTGGGCTAATTCTATATGTTTTGATTGCTGAATCAATCCACTAATTGTTTGATGCTGAAATCCCCATTGTTCTTGGTTAAACTCCCCTGTGTTGACGGTTCAACCACCAATGTTTACTGCTTTTAATTTAGAACAATAATTTTTCAGGTCATGAAGACACCGTCTTCATAGAAATTGTCACTATTACAGCACCCCATTCATCCATCACCCTAGACATGGCGAAACTCCAACAACCACGGTCGCCTGATTCACGGACTTGCGATAACCAGAGCGAACACCTTTTGGCGGGCGCTCAGCCGTGGTGGGATCAGTCAAGTGCTCCTCGTTGTGGCAAAAAGGACCTGAGACCAGCCCGAGACTCATAAATGAAGCTCCCGGCGTTCCAAACATCAAAAATGCGCAGGAATGGGTATATTTGCTGGGTTTCTGATTTTGATATTGGGGATGATGGTATTACTGGGGATATGATCACTATCAGATGATGGTGATGTTGAGTATATGAGGGTGATATTGGGATATGGTTCAAATAATATACGAACTACATATATATATATAACCGGGTGGTATAACCCCTTTCATAACTCACCAATTGAAATTTTGGATCCTACTCATGGAGACGCCCAAGAAAATAGTGGCATGTTTGTTTAAACTTAAGGGAAGAAAATGATCTGCAGGTGGTCTTAAATTCAAATTTTGATCCATAGCCATGTAGCCATCATGTGCTTCTAGCCATGAGCATTCACCAGTCACTCTGGAAAAACTGTGCAATTTGTCCCCTCAGGGTGTGGCTACCATCCTTAATATCCTAGGCTCGGTGGTATTCTTCAACAGAAACCCTCAAAGTTCATGGTAAAAACGATTGGCTTTCGGTAAAACATCCGTGGAAAATCCCACCGATCAATAGCAGCAATTGTAGTCTCTACCAGGTGGCAATCAGCTTTGTTGCGACAACCACTCGAAAAAGTGATAAAGCGACAGGGTTTGCACCTCAGATCGACCACCAAACACAAATCCACAAAAATATACCAGGTAACAAACGACTCGAACATCCTACAATTTCCAACTGTTCTGCTCCCATTTTTCGAATAATGAAACATCGATACCTCCCCTAATCCTACTTGAAACCCCAGAGTTTCTTGGATACTGGCATCCCAATTTCCAGCAGTTCCCAGTGGAATTTCATTTAATTTCATACCAGGTGGTGAATTATCACGATTGCCACGCCTGGGGGTTCGGGGGATAAATAAGCATTCGTGCTCAGTTTTACGGAATGCATCGCTCACTTCCAATAGATACTTAGGGGTGTCAAAATATGGGGTACATACTCCTAATTCACTGGTTTTATCATCACTAGCAAACATAAAAACATTACAGAAACATCTCTTTTGAGCAATGGTGATGATAATCATTCGATTGATCCAATGGTATCCGAATCCAACAACCCTGCGAAAAATAAAAACACAAAAATTCAGGAGTTCAAACAAATTTGTGAAAGACATTGAAAATGCTGAGAATTATGACAGATGATCAAGGCCAATACAAGGTTTAAACCGAACGCTCCACACGTCCACACGCAGCTGCCACATGAAAATGATGATTCAACTTGCCCCAGTCTTCTTCATCAGTAGGAATGAAGCGTGGGAGGTTTCACTCGGTTTGTTCAAGGGATTGTCTATGTACGGGAAACCATGTGTTTTTGCCATCAAAGCAAAGGTTTTTTTGAGGTAATTTCACTGGGAATCCTACGCGCTAAACCGAGGTGTCCATGTTCTGAACGAGTTCAAAGTTGCTGTTCCAATGCCTTGTTCCGGCAAGTGGTTTCATGATGGGAGTATCTGAGCTTTTGATATATTAGTACCACGATGATATGGGTGTGTCTAAAATGAGGACACCCATGAGTTTTTACACCGGCAAGGGGCCCCAAGCAGTGTGCGTGTGTGTGTGTGTGTGTGAGAGGATAGTGTATGATAATGTTGAGGATGACGACGATGATGATGATGAGGAGGAGGAGGATGAGGAGGAGGAGGATGATAATGCTGCGGACGATGATGTTGAGGATGATGATGTTGAGGATGAAGAGGTGCAGGGTGATGATGTTGAGGATGATGAGGTGGAGGATGAGTTTGAGGATGATGATGATGATGAGGAGGATGAGGATGAGGTTGATAATGCAGAAGATGAGGTGGAGGTGGAGGATGATGATGCTGAGAAATTGAGAAGGAGGAAGTCGATGATGTTGAGGATGATAATGTAGAGGAGGAGGACGAAAAGGATGATAATGTTGCGGAAGATGAGGTGGAGGATGATAATGTTGATCATGATGGTGTCAAAGGGGAGGAAGATAATGATGTTGAGAATAATAATGTGGAGGAGGAGGAAGGAGATGACGATGTCGAGGATGACGATGTGGAGGAGGAGGACCGATCCCAAGACCGCGACCCACAGTTTGTGCGAGCCTGCGCAGTCGAAATGCACATGGACATGTTGCACGAGCCATTTTATGCAAGAATTCTGACGAATTTATGCCCCAGATTAGGTTCACGCTTTGTGCGAGCCCGCGCAGTCGAAATGCACATGGACAAAACACAAGAGTCAGTTTTTTGCGGAAATTTGCAGGGAAAACGCCGCGCCCCAGAGTGAGCACCCTGATCAAGAACCGGCCTTAACCCCTACCGTAAGAACCCCTCAGTGTGGATGCACTGTATGGGGAAAAAAGGGAAAAAGATGCAGCCCACGAACCCGAGTGCTTACACATATGTTAATGGTACAGATGCCAAAACGGAGAGAAAAAGCTCATAGATGTTGCAACCCGTGGCTGCAAGTCTGGTGTGGAGTGTGCAGTGTGGAGTGTGGAGTGTCACGTGTAAAGTGCAAAGTGCGCATTCTAAAAGTGTAGAGTGTAGAGTGTGGAATGTCAAGTGCAAAGTGTAAAGTGTGGAGTGTAGAGTGTAGAGTCTAGAGTGTCAGGTGTAAAGTGTGGAGTGCAAAGCGTACAGTGTCGAGTGCAGAGGGTGGGGTAATGAAATTGTAAAGAGCAAAGTGACGAGTGCAAAGTGTAGAGTGCGAAGTGTAAAGTATAAAGTGTGGAGGGTCACGTGTAAAGTGTAGAGTGTAAAGTGTAGAGCGTCAAGCGTATATAAAGTGTAAAGTGCGGAGTGTAAAGTGTAGAGTGTAGAGTCTGCATCGAATGTCAAGTGTGAAGCGCGAAGTCTGGAGTGTAAAGCGTAGGCGTAGAGTGTGGAACATAATGTGGACAGTGCGAAGAGTAAAGTTTAGAGTGCGGAGTGAAAAGTGCAAAGTGTAGAATGTAGAGTGCGCAGTGTCAAGTGCAAAATATGAAGTGTGAAGTGTAAAGTGTAGAGTATGGAGTGCAGAGTGCAAAGTGTAGAGTGTGGAATATAGAGTGTACAGTGTGGAGTGTAAAGTGTAAAGTTTAGAGTGTGGAGTGTAAAGTGTAGAGTGTAGAGTGTGGAGTGTAAAGTGTAAAGTGTAGTGTGTGGAGTGTAAAGTGAAGAGTGTGGAGCGTGGAGTGTAAAGTGTAAAGTGCAGAGTGTAGAGTGTACTGTGTCCCAAATACTGCGCCCAGAGGATTGAGACGAGACATGTTGGAGCCTCAAAACGAGCATTTCGTGCGAGACTTCCTCACATGTTCACACTTTCTAGCTACAAAATCGACGTTTTCCTGCGAGTTTTCTCATGCACCCCTAGATTTGCTACGTCAAAATCGATGTGCAGCGCTTCCGTCAATTTTCAACACATCTCCAAAAATGCCACGCCTGCCATGGAACCTGCGCGCTGCCACCACTTGACGCGCCCTGGCAATGCGATTCGCAAAAAGCACTTATAACACGACACGTCGGAAGTGCTGCACCTGCCACGCAAAATGACGATGGAGGTCTCCAAAATGCTTCGCTGGTGAACCAAGTTTTAAGCATACAAAAGTGATGTTAATCCCCTCATACTGCGGACATCATCCCCAATTCAGACGCTTTTTGCTTGCTCAGACTCCCATGTTTATACGGATGTTGATGCATGAAAGTCCAATTTTTCATAGCGTATACTTTTTTGGAATACCCCACTGCCTCCCAAAATATACCGAAGCACTGCCCTGAGTAGTGCAGGCTGGACCCCACTGATGTGGCGACGTTTTCCTCAATGATCAGACCACTCAAAATGTGGCCACGTCCGCGGCTTGGCCCTCCTGCGTTTTTGCTGGGATCTCAGACGGCTCAAACGGCTCAGAATCTTCAATGGATAAAAACCTGTGTGTGCATATAAAGATATGTGAATAAATGTACACATAAGTGGGCATATCCCATAGATGACTGGGCAAACCAAGTTTATCATTTAGCTATGAATCTCTTAGGATAGGATGTGCAAATGCACAGTGGAAAGTCTTCTTGGGTGACCCGGGTAGGTTGAGTGGTGAATAGCCAAGGTTCGAGCCCAAGGTTGCCAAAAAACCTTCTGTTTAGGGGTATCCCTATGTATCCCTATTAATTCATACGGGGAAACTACGATAAATTTGCTATAAAAGAAATATGTATATATATATATATCTCTATCTATCTATCTATCTATCTACTTTTCCGCACGATTATAGAAGATATTCAGAGATATGTTTAAATAGAAGATGGTTTTGGGGGTGCGGCCAAAAGCATTTTAAACAGAAGATATTGCAGAATGCAAAAGTAGCTCAAATGACCAAATATCCACAATCAACCCCTCAACATTGGGATGATCTTTGCAATATCTTCTATTGAAAAATCCTTTGTCCCACTGCCATTTTGTCTAGTTTTGGCAAGGAAACTATAAAATCAATAGAACATTGACACCTGGACTCGGGTGAACCCCCGAAAGTGGGAGTGCAAAAGTACCCCCCGAAGTGGGACCCGGCGGGAGGTACTTTTGCAGTCTCACTTTCGGGTGGAGTTCGGTGAACAAAATATGTAAAAAAAAAACTTGGGTTTTTTAGCTCTTTTGATTAAGGGATGGCGATTCAAACCCCTTTTCAAATAGAAGATGGTCGAAGGAAGTTTTGAAGTCAAACTCCCGACAACATGGACAGATGAAAAGCAGAGATGGGAAGAGTCAGAGAAGAGAAGAGAAGAAGAAAGAAGATCAAAAAGAGAAGATCAAAAAGAGAAAGTCTCCGAAAAAAGATCCAGGTGCGCGAAAAGGTAGGAGAGTCGCGAAACACTGTGTTTTCCAAGATTTGTGGCTCCGGAGGGTCGAAAAGTAGGCTCGCTAAAGCGGCGGGTGCGGGCTGGCCAGATGAGAGATGAAAAATTGCACGCCGTTGTGGCACGAGGCACATTTCAAAGTCAAAAGTGTCCAAAACTGACTGGTTCGGAGCACAATTGGAAGTTGAGATGTCGAAAAAGTGCACGCCGTCATGGCGCGAAGCACATTTCCAAGTCAAAGTGTCAAAAACTGACGGGTGCGGAGCCAGCTGGCCAGATGAGAGATGAAAAATTGCAGGCCGTTGTGGCGCGAGGCACATTTCAAAGTTAAAAATGTCAAAAACTGACTGGTTCGGAGCACAATTGGAAGTTGAGATGTCGAAAAAGCGCATGCCGTTGTGGCGCGAAGCAAATTGCCAAGTCAAAAGTGCAAAAAGCTGAGGGGGTCCGAGCACTTTGTCGTTTCGCGTGGCAAGCGCAAGGGATTGTGCACCTTGTCGTGCACCTAGCCAAAAGCGAGCAAGACATGAGGGTTTTGTAGCAGTTTCAAGAACAATGGCAGGCGTGGGACAGATGCAGAGGATCTGGCAAGATGCATTTCGCGTGGCACGCGCAGTACACGAGATATGTTCATCTGAGCTGTTAGGAGGTCCGGGTGCCGATTTCCTGCGTGGGGTTGCATTTTGGAGCATCAGGTCTTCAGTTTTGGGAAGATGATTTTGCGTGACAGGTGCAGCACTTCGTGTGACCTGGCATCACTTTTTCGTGGCAGGCGCAGCACTTTAGACAGATGGAATGGAAAAACCGCAAAACGCATTGGCACGAGAAGGTCAGCTTTGCAGTCAACTCTCCATTTCGAAGGAAGTCTCGCAGAATTGTTTCGTTTTTGACGTTGTCAACTTCGAAAATTGAGGAAGTCTCGCAGAATTGTTTTGTTTTTGTTGTTGTCAAGTTCAAAAATTGAGGAAGTCTCGCAGCAATGTTTCGTTTTTGAAATGCTACGTTCAAAAATTGAGGGGGTCTCACAAAATAGCCGCATTTTCAAGAATGCAGATAGACAGGCAGACTCAGACAGACAGACAGACAAACAGACAGACAGACAGACAGATAGGTAGGTAGGTAGATAGATAGATAGATAGATAAATAGATTAGGTAGATAGACAGACAACTACAACTACAACTATTACAACTACAACTACAACTACAGCAGCAGCAGCAACAACAACGAGGACGACGACGACGACGACCACCACCACCACCACCACCACCACCACCACCCACACGAGAGTACACAACACTACAGTACACTACTATACACTACACTAGTTACACCACAACAACAACTGCAACTGTAACTGCACTACACAAATTACACTACATTACAACCACAACTTACAACTACAACTCCACTGCACAACAACTACACCTACAACTACAACTACAACTAGAACTGCACTACACCACACTACATCCAGCAGTTGTGGTGAGGTGACCACTGCAACCATTGCAACCACTCCAGAAAACACAACTCCAACCACCTTTCGGTCCATCAGTGAATTCGCTCTGCCATCCGTGAGTCAGAGCAGCCAACCCTTCCTATAGGTTTTCTATTTTGAAACTTCCGCCACCGCCTTGCGAGGTACTACTGGTATAAAGTGCTATTGGTTTGTTTAATAGAAGATATTCGAGAAGTACCGAAAAACATGTTTCAAATGAAAGATAATATTTCATGACGGAATCTAGAGGGTTCCACCAAATTGTTTTTAAATAAAAGATATCGGTTTGTAACCCCATCAGTTGGACAGATCCTACATGCATGAAAAACAGTTTTCAAATAGAAGATAATTGATTTTGGCTTGGTTTTGGGCCTTCCTCCTCAAATGAAAGATGATAGGGATCACCAAACATCGAAACAACACTAGGAAAAAACATACATTCCAATTGTCAAAAACATTCTCAGATCACGCTCTAACCTCGAGATCCCCAGAGAAAGACAATCATTTGAATATCTTCTATTTAAAATGCCTTGCTCAAAACATTGGAGAAATCTGGGTTTAGGGGTGGGCAGGAATAATATACAGTATTTGAATATCTTCTATTTGACATGCCTTTGGGAAGGCTTCAAGACACCGAGTGTTGATAAGTTTTGCGCGTAAATTTTGGAGAATTTGAGCTGTGAGGGGTGGGCAGGAATAAAAAAAATGTATTCGAAATGCCTTCGGGAAGGCATCAAAACACCGAATTTAGCAGATAAAGCTCACGAAACTGGATTTGCAGGGGTGGGCAGGAACAATGTATTTGAATATCTTCTATTTGGAAATGCTTTTGGGAAGGCATCAAAACACCGAGCTTTGATGAGTTTTCCACATAAATTGGTGAATCTGGGCTTTCAGGGGTGGGCGGGAACAACATGTATTTGAATATCTTCTATTTGAAATGCCTTTGGGAAGGCATCAAAACACCGAGTTTTGCACATAAAATTGGCGAATCGGGACTTGTGGAGGCGGGCATGAAAAACATATTTGAATATCTTCTATTTGAAACGACTTTGGCAGGGCGTGAACACATCGAGTTTTGGACACAACATTGGAGAATGAGCTTTCAGGGGCGGGCAGGAACACTATATATGTGAATATCTTCTATTTGAAATGCCTTTGGGAAGCCCCAAAACACCAAGTTTTACAGATAAAATTGGAAAATCTTGCCTTTCAGGAGTGCTCATGAATATTTTATTTGAATACCTTCTATTTGAAATGCCTTTGGGAAGCCCCAAAACACCGAGTTTTGCACATAAAAACTGGGCTTTCAGGAGCGCGCGTGAATTAATATATTTTGAATATCTTCTGTTTGAAATGCCTTTGGGAAGGCATCAAAACACCGAGTTTTGCACATAAAAGTTTTGCGAATCTGGACCTGCAGGGGTGGGCAGGAATACTGTAAGGGAAGATTTCTTAAGACCAGGTGTTAGGCTTTGGGAGTCAGGTGTTCAAGGTTTGTAAAATATCAAACAATTTTTGAAAAACGGGCAATGTTTCACCGCGACTCATTGCAAACCCATTGGGGCGTCAAAACTTGGCTGTGCATATTCACCAGGGCAAGTCCAGCAAGTCCATAAGAATTTGATCGTCATATGTTTCATGATTCATGTTTTTTCTCGGGTCCTGAAATGTTTTGGATACACCCGTCACAATTTCTTCAGCGCATAGGATGGGAAACTGATTTGTTCATGGGGCTGCCAAGTCGTGGCTAGCAAGAAGGCTGGCTGAAAGAAAAGAAACTGGCTAACAGAAACACTGGTGGACAGATTGCTCTGTCTGTCAGCCTCTTTCTTGCAGAAAGCTTCTTTTTGCTGGCTATGTGTTTTTTGCTGGATGGCATGGCGGCCTGAATCTGCCCCTGCCTCCCAAGTCAATGTCTTCGTTCCTAGCCCACCCACTTTGAAAGGGCGAGCCAACATGTTTACGGAGAAATGCAAGCCAATGTGGATAGCAGGTCCATGGCAGGGGTACCAGCTGTCCTGCTGACATATACATGTCATAGTTTCTTTGTTTGCTTCATTTCGGGACAAAATGGTCGTTTCCTGAAACTTCTCAACCTCAACCCCTTTGAAATGTATTGGGAGAAAATTGCTATTTGAAAAAAAACGTTTTCCTGAAATCACGTGTTTCTATGAAACTGTGTTACACTACAAGCTTTTTAAACGTTGTGTTGCTAGGGTCTGGTGCCATGAACTTGCGCTTAAAGTTCAAAGACCTTCTTGTTGAAACTGTCGGGCGCTATCAATTTCAATGACTAACATGGGCGTTTCTTGTGAAACAGTTCGGGCTAGAAAATCTACTGAAAGTGGTTTGCTGTTGATTGCGGATTGGTGCCAAACTAGTAACCTCTTCCTTGGAACCGTGGGATGTTTGATGTATTGTTGACAACATGTTTTAAGTGAGCAGGGCTGTTCTAGCTGGTATGTCTTCGCAATTTTGTTTCCGTGCTAGTTGTGACAATCGTAGTTGTGTTCCGTGCATCTCCCTTCCTAGTTTTAAAGCCACTCTGCGGTGGTCAGCTTCCATTTACTTTAATCCATTTGTCAGCATGACATGGATCTTGCACAATGCAGATGAAACTTGCGCAGTGGGGTCGAAGGTTTGGGGGCGGCTCACTGTGCGAGATTCAAATGAAACTTGCGCAGGGGGGGGAGGGTCGACGGCCTGTTGGCGAGTTTCAAATGAAACTTGCGCAAGGGGGGGTCGAGGGCCTGTTGGCGGCTCACTGTGCGAGATTCAAATGAAACTTGCGCAGGGGGGGAAGGTCGACGGCCTGTTGGCGAGTTTCAAATGAAACTTGCGCAAGGGGGGGTCGAGGGCCTGTTGGTGGCTCACTGTGCGAGTTTCAAATGAAACTTGCGCAGTGGGGGGTGCTTAATGCTGACGGTCGTTCTCTTTGGAGATTTCTACAGGTCATCTCAGAAACTGTTGCTACTCAACTGTTGAAAACAAGACTTCTCCTCTCAGTCATGGGCTTGATGCAGCCCTCCTCTTATGATTAAACTACTCTAAAAAAATTAGCTGAATGGTTGTCTGCATCCCGTCCCTGGTGGCAGTGATGATGAAGAAGAGGAGGAGGAGGAGGAGCAACGGATGGTGGTGATGATGATGATGATGATGGTGAGAATTTTGAGGATGCTGATGGTGCTGATGATGCGGTGGGGCATGTCATCATTATCATAGCCAGTTAAAGTGCAACATGGCTTGTCTATTAGATGATTCCATCATAAAAATCCTTCCGTTCTTGCTCCGTCTGTTCTCATGCATTCTCTCTTTTTCCACCAGCTTCTGCCTTGGAGTGTTATTTGTCGTTCTTCATTGAAGTCTTTGGTTTCTTCACCACCTTCTTCTTTGCAGTCTGACTGCCAGGCGGAATGTCAAATAAAATGTTAGAGAAGATGCCAGATCAAATGTCCGAAAGAGTGTCAGATAAAGCGTCAGATCGTTGGAGCGCCAGATAGAAGGAGCAAGAATATGTTAGGCAGAATGTCAGATAGAATTCCAGATATGATGTCACAATAAGTGTCAGATTGAAGGACAGAATATGTGTCAGATAACGCGTCTGATAAATGCCAGCGGAGATAGCTCAGGAAAACGACGATCTTGTCCCAACACGAAAAAAGCAACGCAACTCGCTGAACATGAAATGTATGTGTTTGCAAGGCAGTTGGTACCCCTGCAGTCCGCACTTTATTTCTCGTATTTCTCTGCAAGCAGGTGGGCTAGGAACGAAGACATTGACTTGGGAGGGAAGGGCAGATTCAGGCCGCCATACTATCCAGCAAAAAACATGGCCAGCAAAAAGAAGCTGGCTGCAAGAAAGAGAGTGGCAAACAGAGCAATCTGTCCACCAGTGTTTCTGTTAGCCAGTTTCTTTTCTTTCAGCCAGCCATCTTGCTAGCCACGACTTGGCAGCCCCATGAACAAATCAGTTTCCCATCCTATGCGCTGAAGAAATTGTGACGGGAATCATGAAACATATGACAATCAAATTCTCATGGACTTGCTGGACTTGCTCTGGTGAATATGCACAGCCAAGTTTTGACGCCCCAATGGGTTTGCAATGAGTTGCGGTGAAACATTGCACTTTTTTCAAACATGTTTGATATTTTACAAACTTTGAACACCTGACTCCCAAAGCCTAACACCTGGTCTTAAGAAAACTTCCTTTGCATTTGGCTATCTTCTATTTGAAATGCCTTTGGGAAGGCATCAAGACACCGAGTTTTGATGAGTTTTACAAAAAAAATGGAGAATCTGGGCTTTCAGGTGGGCAGGAATAGTATATATATATAAATATATATTTATATACATGTGAGTATCTTCTGTTTCAAATGCCTTTGGGAAAGCATCAAAACACCGAGTTTTGCACAGAACAATAGAGAATCTGGGCTGGCAGGGGTGGGCAGCAATAAAATTATTTGAATATAGTCTATTTAAAATGCCTTTGGGAAAGCATCAAAACACCAAGTTCTGCACATAAAATTGAAGAATCTAGCCTGTCAGGGGCGGAACAATATATCTGAATATCTTCTATTTGAAATGCCTTTGGGAAGCCCCTAAACACCGAGTTTTGCAGATAAAATTGGAGAATCTTGCCTTTCAGGGGTGTGCAGCAATAATATATATATATATCTTTGTTTGAAATGCCTTTGGGAAGGCATCAAAACACCGACTTTTGCACATAAAATTGGAGAATCTAAGCTTTCAGGGGCAGACAGGAAGAACATAATTGAATATATTCTATTTAAAACACCTTTGGGAAAGCATCAAAACACCCGGTTTTGCACATAAAATTTGCGAACGAATCTGGGCTTTCAGGAATGTTCATGAATAATATATTTGAACATCTTCTGTTTGACATGCTTTTGGGAAAGCATCAAAACATTGAGTTTTGCATATGAAATTGGCGAATCTGGGCTTGCAGGGGTGGGCAGGAATACTGTATTTGAATATCTTCTGTTTGAAATGCCTTTGGGAGACATCAAAGCACCGAGCTTTGATGAGTTTTACATATAAACTTGTAGAATCTGGGCTTTCAGGGGTGTGCAGGAATAATATATATATATATATGTGTGTGTGTGAATATCTTCTTCTATTTGAAATGCCTTTGGGAAGGCATCAAAACACCGAGTTTTGCACATGAAATTGGCGAATCGGGACTTGTGGAGGTGGGCATGAAAAACATATTTGAATATCTTCTTTTTGAAACGACTTTGGCAGGGCGTGAACACATCGAGTTTTGGACACAACATTGGAGAATCTGAGCTTTCAGGGGCGGGCAGGAACACTATATATGTGAATATCTTCTATTTGAAATGCCTTTGGGAAGCCCCAAAACACCAAGTTTTACAGATAAAATTGGAAAATCTTGCCTTTCAGGAGTGCTCATGAATCATATATTTGGATATCTTCTATTTGAAATGCCTTCGGAAGGTATCGAAACACAGAGTTTTGCAAATAAAGTTGCAGAATCTAGGCTTTCAGGAGCGCGCGTGAATAATATATTTTGAATATCTTCTGTTTGAAATCAAAACACCGAGTTTTGCAAATAAAAATCGAGAATTTAAGCTTTCAGAGGCAGACAGGAAGAACATAATTGAATATCTTCTATTTAAAAAGCCTTTGGGAAGGCATCAAAACACCCAGCTTTGCACATGAAATTGGAGAATCTGGGCTTTCAGGGGTGGGCAGGAATAGTAATTTTTGAATATCTATGTGAAATACCTTTCGGAGCACCGAGTTGCCCGCCCTACCTTACAAGAACCATGGCCCAAACATCCGCACTGAATGTCCCGTCCGAAAAAGTCCCTGCGGGTATACTTGACCCCCAAAAGAAAATCAATATGAATTCAAAAAGGTACGAAACATCCGTTGGAGCACCGGCTTTGACACCACTACCTTGACACCAGCCCGAGCACCACCTCAGTCCCCACGAAAAGTGCCTCCGGGGGTACCTGGCCCTAAAAAACCAGCCAAGCATGATGGCAATTTAGCAATGCATATGTATATAGTCAGAGTCGTCAGAGTCATTGAAAAAGCCAACTTACCAAAGGGGGACCCCACCTGTGGTACTATCTCAAGCACAAGTTTCCGGAAGTTGCACGCGCTTTATCCTATCAGTAAATGGATTTGTCTCTTTCTTTCCAGGAACCGCAAAATCCGTTGGTTTAAAGTTTAAAAACATTTGGAAATTTTAATTTTGAATTGTGTGGTATAAGCATCGTTCTCTCCCGTCATAAACCCATATGAGCAGTGTTAAAACCCTGTGTTGTCCCTGTGTAATCGCTGGTTAATAGGGATCCCCACAGTGGATTATGACAATACCCTCGGTCGTTAGGTATAGTACACCCCCCTTACAATCATCAACCAAAAGGGGTCTTGAACACTGCTCATCTGTCGTCGGTTCTATCTCTTTCCAATCCTAAAAATTGCCATTTCATTCTATGAGGAAACCTGGCCCAAATCCATGCTCCACCCTGCCTGAAGAGGATGCTTTCTCCCCTTTCTTATCCTCACTTGATTCAAGTGAGCCGGACTCTGAACCTCGGACACTGGAAGTTAGCAGCAGAACTGTGGGGATTCCACCAGCATGAGGGTCACGTCGCCAAGAAATATTGGGGTCTCACCATCGGAAGTGTGATTTGAACATCACAAATTGGGATTTCACCAGCGACAACAAACAATTTAGCCAGCAAAAAGCCGGGATTTCGCCAGCACAAAGGAGGAGATGAAGCAACAAAAAAGGTGGCGCTCAGGGTCAAGTCTTTGGGTTCCGGTTTGTTGGATCCTTTTTGGAGTGGACTGTCAAGCATAGGGCAAATATCAGATTATCAGGAAAAATGCAGCTATTGGTGAAATGTTTTTGCACTCACAATGATGAAATGATTTCAAGTACGAAAACTGATTTCCAGGGCCAAAACGCATGTTGACCCAAATGACAAGCCATTGACATGGTCCCCCGATTCTGAATCTTTCGCGTTGCTGCATCTACTTATAGTCACCATGGCTGGTAGCTTCAGGTGCATGTGCATCTTGCCATTCCTATTCCAAGCAACAGCGTGTTGCTACAGGGTTTCGAACAGATTTCCCTGGTAGACATAACCTGCTGAAGATGCTAAGAAGTATTGAAAGTGTTACGTTTAACTCCCGGGAAAGGTGAAAAATTGTAATGACGGCTGTCCTATGTTTCTCTCTTGGCTCGTGTCTTTCCCACCGAACAATACAACATCCACAAAGTGTAATACTTTAGCCCGAAAGGCTCTGGGAAAAGATCGAACACTGACACTAGATCATGCAATGCGTCTTCATGTAAGGGTCAACGATATGTAGGTGATTGCATGCATGTGAAAATATCTATATACATACACGTGTGCATATATGTATATAGCTGTACGTATACGTAAACACATGTATGTGCACATGTGCATCAGCAAACCTGGACATATGAGTAGTCTCAAAAACCAACTTACAAAGTGCTTCGAATATTTCCGCCAGTGTTGGCCATATGAACCCACACATTTGTATGTGTAGATTAAATATCATATGTATTAAATATAAATATTGTGATATCATCTTGTATGGAAAAATCAGATATTTATATATACATATATCAAAACACGAATATATCTATATTATATACTATAATATATATATAAGGAATCATGTTTATTACATTTATTAAATGTAAAAAAAATGTTATATATATATATATTTGTTTATATTTGATACATACATACTACATATATTGTATATTAAAAAAGTTTTTGTATTAGAAAATTGTAGATACATGTATAATATTAAACAAGGATATTTCAAATATTCTACTTGAACCATAAATTACATATTATATATATATATTGATATGTGTATATATGTGTGTGCGTGCATTTTATTTAAAAAAAATGCATGTTAAACATATATTTAATAAATGGCTTGCATTTCAAACTAAATATACATAATATTTAACATATCAAATATTAAAACATATACATGCAAACAATTTAAAAATATATGTTATAAAAAAGAAAACATTATATAAATATATATCTTGAAAAACAATATGTATATATATATATGATAATCATTACACAAAATCGATTATACATTTTTGAATAAATTCAAAAAATATTTCAAATTGTATCTATGAAATAAAAGGTATTGTATCTGTATAAGCATTATATCTAGTAAAAATACTAATTAGATCTTAATATATATGTAAATATGAAATAATTTCCTTATGATATTTATTAAGTTTTACAAGTATATGAGCATTGTATATTTAAAAAAAAAGCTTATATATTAGAAAAAATATTGATAATGGAATATTATATAAATATATGTTTTTGTTATTTTAATCTATGATATTTTAAACATATTATAAAATGATATACATTACATGAAACTTAAAAATTGCATATCATATATAAATTTAAAGTATTTTATTTATTAGATGGATGAAAAAAGATATGATATGCAATATAGATTCAATACCCAATATATTATACTGAAATAATATATACATAAAAACGAATATATATATATATATATCTCTCTCTCTTAAATCTGAATGTTACATATATTGCATATATGTGTTATAGTGACAAAATATCTGTATTATTTATATATTTAATATATAGCAAATAAATGAAATATAGTATATATATATTCTATATCTTATATACGAATATATAAGACGCTATTTATTGAATACCAGTAGTTCCCGCACCAGGCGGGGCGGAAGTTTCCTTAGGGTTATGCTATAAGACTTTCTTCATCTATAGAACTTGTATGCGCCGTGCGCCAGCCAGGCCCGTGCGTGCGTGCCTTTGTGCGGCAGGGTTGCACTGTTCCAAAGGTCGCGCTTGACGCTCCACACTTCACACTGCACTCTTCACACTTCACACTTCACATATCGCACTTACACTTCACACTCCAAACTTCATCTCATCTCATCTCTTCTCACCTCATCTCAGCTCTTCTCATCTCATCTCACCTCTTCTCTTCTCATATGTCATCTAAGTTCTTCTCAGCTATTTTCATTTCATCTGAGCAACACTCAACCTTTCTCATCTCATCGAAGCTTGCCTCAACTTATCTCAGCTCTTCTGCGCGTCACAGGGCCTTTACTGTCAGAGAGACTGCTGCGCGCAGACAGATTTTGCACAGAGAAGACTTTGCACACTGAAGTTTGGGACGCTGAAGTTTGGGACGGTTCTGTATACGAGAAGCTTTTACACACAGCATTCTTTTGCACAGAGAAGCTTTTACACAGAGAAACTTTTACACACAGAAGCTGTTACACACAGAACAGAACCTTTTACGTACCAGTTTGCGCAAACATTTCCCAGTACTACTTTGTACTACGAAGCTTGGACAAAGAACTTCCCGGTACTGCTTCCTACTAAAAAGCTTGGTGACAAAATACTTCCCAGTACCACTTTGTAGTACAAAGCTTGCACAATGACTTTCCGGTACTACTTTGTACTACAAGACTTGCACAAAGCACTTCCCAGTAGTACTTTGTACTACAAGGCTTTCACAAAGTACTTCCCAGTACTACTTTGTACTGCACAACTGCCACAAAGCACTTCCCAGTACAACTTTGCACTGCAAAGCTTGCACAAAGTACTTCCCAGTACTACTTTGTGCTGCAAGACTTGCACAAACTACTTGTTACTGCAAAGCTTCGACGAAATACTTCCCAGTACTTCTTTGCACTACAAACCTTGCACAATGACTTCCCAATTCTACTTTGCACTACAAACCCCACGCCAGCACTACTTTGTACTACACAGGCTGCACAAGGACTTCTCAGTACTACTTTGTACTACCAAGCTTGCACAAAACACTTCCCAGCACTACTTTGTGCTACAAACTTCGCACCGGCACTACTTTGTACTACACAGATTCCACAAGCACTTCCTGGTATTAATTTGTACCACAAGACTTGCGCAAAGCACTTGCCAGTACTACTTTGCACTACGAAGTTTGCACAAAGCACTTCCAAGTACTACTTTGTACTAGAAAGCTCGCAAAAATACTACTTGGCACTACAAAGCTTGCACAAAGTACTTCCCAGTACCACTTGGTACTACAAAGCTTTCACAATGTACTTCCCAGTACTAGTTTGTACCACAAAGCTTGCGCAAATTATATACTTCCCGGTGCTGCTTCTTGTACTATTGTTGGATCCTGGTTAGTGTAGGGACCCCCCCAAACAGTTTCAGGCTTCAATTTAAAGTGATGATTTTAGCGACCAGGTACTGCATAAAATTGGATCAATTGATATCAATTGATTTCAAATTACTTTCAATTGATTTCAGTTGATTTTCAGTTGATTTCAATTGATTTTCAATTGATTTCAATTGATTTTCAATTGGTTTCACTTGATTTTCAACTGATTGCGATTGATTTCAATTACTTTCAATTTACTTTCAATTTGTTTCAAGTGATTTTCAATTGGCTTCAATTGATTTCAATTTACTTTCAATTGATTTCAATTACTTTCAATTGATTTTCAATTGATTTCAATTGATTTTCACTTGATTTCAATTGATTTCAATTTTCTTTCAGTTGATTTCAATTGATTCCAATTGATGTTCAATTGATTTCAATTGATCTTCAAATGATTTCAATTGATTTCAATTTACTTTCAGTTTACTTTCAATTGATTTCAAGCTCAGCCGTACTTGAGTGATTTGTAGCTTAGTACTGAGCAAGGCTCAATGCTTTTCACCTTAGCCCTGAGCTAGGCTCACCTTGAGCTGGGCTCAGGGATTTTTTGGCTTGCCTCAGCATTAGCTATCAGATCAAAAGGCAGTGTCAGGAAAGAGCATCAGCCTGCATGTGGTGGAATGTGGTATTCTTCGAGGTTCTAGAGGAAAGCTAAGTAGTTAATTAAGTGTCAATAGCTACTCCAAGGACAGGGAAAAAGGATATGATTATGTAAATTCTCACATCAAGAAAAAAGACTGGACACAATAGAGGACCCCCACAATAAACATACTATTGAAGATCAGGGTTGCTCATGGGCTACCTGTTTGAAAAATTGTTTGGGCGCTATGTTTTAATAACCGTTTAATGAGGAATTTGATGTTTGGTGAAAATAGTGCATCTGATGATCCTAGATGAAAACTAAGTAATTTACAAAAGCTATTCCAAAGAAGGGGATAAAGGTAATGATGAACATTTTCACACCAGAAAAAAACTGGACACAATAGAGGGCCACCACAACAAACACATTAGTTATTGAAGATCTATCTTGCTGACGGGTCACAAAATTGAAAAATGGTTTCCTCAGACAACATCTGGACACAATAGAGGACTACCACAACAAACAAATATTCATCAGTTAATTAATTCATTAATTAATTAATTATTTCTAAAAATGCAAAAAAAAACGCTGAAAAGATTGAAAGCATGTTGAAAAAACTGAAAATTTCCTGACAAAATGCATCAGAAAAAAAACTTGACACAATACCGACCCCCTAAAACTAGCACACTGATTCAGAATTATTTGGAAAAGCTTGACACAATACAGAATC